CTACTGTTCTAAATATTTTGTAACAACAGTACATAAAGTATTTCCAAAACACTTTCAGTTTTCCAAACATTTCCAGAACATTTAAAAATCCTGATCACCAAAAACACAACATTTGATTGATTTAACAACGCATATAAGCAAATACTCAAGGAATAAACTTTGATATAAACTGACGGTCAGAGTGAAGAGTAAGAGTTAAAGTAAAAATACATTCCTACTGTCAGTCCTGAAAGATACTTACAAAACATCATGAGTACACAACATTATAATCATGGTGATGAAGCAATGAGTTTAAGAAGCTACACAGCAACACACGTTTATAAGATGACTTTAGCAATGTGTTAGCAATTTGACTTCAAGTAATATTATATTATGAGATGATTCCTTAAAGGGTAAGAACAAAGAAATAAATTCAAGAATAATCATAAGATGATTCTTGTTATATTTTCTTTCAAAGTGGAAAAACATTTAAACACATTTCCCACCAATTCTATCAAATACTTTTATATGCTAACTTTGTGATACATACTCATCTTAGCAGTATAATTAAACATTAGATACAAAAGTGAGGTTAATTTTGCTTTTTAAACTATTTCATATTTGTGGATCCACAACACCCTCTCTTTAAAACAAAGAACCTTTATAGTGAAGCGCTCACCCCCGGAGAGTGAAGGCAGCATCCTCTTCTTTTCTTAAGCTTTACTCCAGGACAAGGCTCAGTCCCCCCTGCACAGGGCAGCAGCCTGCTTTTGCTGCTTTGTTACTCAGTTTCAAGACACCTCTAATATCTCAGACACTTTAGCTTCTTGTAGTTTAACTCAATAAAAAAAACATGGCACCATCTACCAGCCATTTACTGGTAAATTATGCAAATGTCTGCTAGATTTACTTCATCAGCAGCTAAAAACAATGGTAATCTACTGAGTGGTAGACTTTGAGCGTTTACTGGCTGGTGGACAAAACAGTTCATTTAGCACCCTGCCTGTGTACAGACAGGAGAACGAACGTCTCGGGTTACGTATGTAACCCTGGTTCCCCGAGAAGGGGAACGAGACTGCGTCGGTTACGACACTATGGGGACTCCTCTAGGCGTAGCAGGTCTGAATGTGAATGAAATCACTCCAATCCTATTGGCTTGTTGCTAGAACGGTAAGGTGTGACGGAATAACCGGAGGAGTATAAAGCACACCTGTACACACTCATCATTAGCTTAAACTATGAAGCAGGGGAGAGAGGTGCGGCAGGCCGACGCAGTGTCTCGTTCCCCTTCTTGGGGAACCAGGGTTACATACGTAACCCGAGACGTTCCCCTTCGAGGGAACTCGAACTGCGTCGGTTACGACACTATGGGAACGAGATACCCACTAAACCGTGCCGAAAACCCCGCCTGCCCCAGTGTGCAGTAAAGTGGCACGACTAAGAGGAGAGCGCACGAGTG